CAAAACAAAAACAGGGGGATGTGGCTCAGTGCCAAGGACCTGGGTTCAATCCCTAGTACCAACAAAAGCAAAACAGAGAGGGTAGAGGGAAAAAATAATGTCTTTACTTATTTGTAGATATACATTTAAAGACAGGGGCTGGGGATTTAGCTCAGTGGCACAGTGCCTGCCTGGCAAGTGCAAGGTCATGAGTTCGATTCCCGGTACTGAGGGGAAAAAAAAAAATTAAAGACATCTGACTTCTCACAATGCAAGTAGAATTCTACAGTGAAATGCCTAGGACCAGCAGTACCCAAGCTTGAGAGTGCATCGGGCCCACCGAGAGCCGGCTGCGTCTGACACAGTGAGGACAGTCCGAGAATTCACATTTCTAACACTTCCCAAGCAGTGGGGTTTACACTTTGAGAACCAACTCTCTAGAGCATGGCAAAGTTATTCCTCCCCGAGAGCCAGGTAGGTAAAAACAATACACATTACGTGAAATTCCAGAAGTTACCTTCATCCATGATGTGTGCGAGAAATTCACAAACTCAGGCCATATATCCAGCCCTATAAATCAGGCTCTGCAGTTTCTCAAAATCTTAAGATGATTTATGCATACACTCAAGTTTGAGGAACTGTCTTGAAACAACCCTTCCTAAAACTGGTGGAGATGCAGCAAAATCACGTTAAAAGTTCTAAAGTGCAGCCCAAATTTACGGAACCTCAGAAGCTTAGCAGTCTGTATTACTATTATTCTCTGCAGATAATTCTATTATGCAGCCAAGTCTGAAAACTACTGCTGTAAAGCAATGGCATATTCCCCATAGCAAGCAGTAAGCAGGGCTTGCATGGAAACTCAAGCAAGGGCAGTCAAAGGCTGCCTCCGGAGGCAGGATTAGAATGAGACCAATTTTATAAAACCAAGTGGACACTTAATCAAGGACATTAATAAGCCTACGAAAAGAAAAAGGAATGTGCTCTGCATAAAAAGAGAACCGAAGAAAAATATGTCAGTGCACCTCCAGCACACTGCAGGGGAGAGTGAACTTCAGGCTGCTCACTGCAGACCACAAACGAGTTCCGAGCTATGCCGCTATGTGCAGACACCCGAATGACCCAGCGACTGCTGGCAAAGCTACCCGCAGCTCCGTGACACAGGAGTCTCTCTCGGGGTGCGCCTCTCCAAAGTCTGCAGGAACTGGGCAGCAACAATCACCATGTGTTCACTGCCGCAGGGCGTCTTCCACGTGTGAGCTTTAGAAATACGCTCTGTGGTCACAAACCGTATTGGTCCAATTTCTCCTTTTTCACTATAAAAATTGCCTACACATTCTATACAAATACTGCTTTACTTTGCTGAATTTTTCAGAAATCTGAGACTTTTTTCAGTGCCTTGCTAAAATGTCACCTCCAGGGTCCTGAGCTGTGCCTCCCAGCACGCTGCTTCCCTGCACTTTGTACAGCCCTCCGTTCTGGCACAAGCACAGTCCTATTACAGCTGTTCTGGGCCCCTGGCTTACCTTCAAACTCCTTCAAAGCACACATCATGACTTCACTATTGTAGTAACTAAAAATACTCAACTAATGACACCAAAAACCAAAACCACGTCCAGAGGGGAGAGATCCAAGAGTGAACTCCTGCCAAGATTAAAACCCAGAAGCCACTGCTAATTTTTCAGAGTTAACACCTAAATTTTCATCTCACTAATTCAAAAAGGAGTATTTACAGAATATTTTGAGACTGTGACTTTATAAGACAACTTTCAACGGAAGCACGTTTCTAAAGTATCTTTATTAGTGCATGTACACATCGTAATTCTGTCTGCTTCTTCTTTCCCTCCGCTGCGCCCCCCCCTCCATAATGTGTGTTTCTTGAGCACAAGAAATAGAATATGCTCCCCTATTTGTAATTGGTATCCAAGAGAAAAATGGACAGCCTGGGATTGGTATAGGATTGAGGGATGTTCACTTTCAGCAGAAGTTAATGTTCTAGATCTGAAAAAATGTAATTCTTTAATCTACTGTAGCAGAGATATAAACCATGACTGGTACAACAAAAATAAATAATCTGTTACTATGTAATAGTTATTTTTTTAAATTACAAAATGAATTTGCCAAAAGTAACAAGGAGTCACCCTTTGATCTGGAACGAATCTAGC